ATTCAGAAAAACAGAAAAAAATACTCAGAAAAACAGAAAAAAATTACTCAGAAAAACAGAAAAAAAAATTATTAAAAAAAACAAACCAAAAAATAAATTACTCAGTTTTTTTTTTCCCAAGTGAATGCAGTATGCTTCCGTACTTACTAATCTGTGTATACCTATATTTTACACTCGCTTTGGAAGTGTGAATGTTTGTTTCCCATGCCAATAACGTCCAATTTTAATGTTAATTATATAATAAGACAATAAAAAAAGAACTATAATACTCATGGGTTAAATAATAGCTAATAATAATTTAAAAAAGCAGTCTGTGGTACAAAACTTACTTCTATCTCTATATATTATATTATAATGTACATACAGACTCTTATTATATTTCCTATTTATATTTATTTTATACGTGTATACTGATATATATAGTTCTATTTAGAGATATACTGTTAGATACAGTAATATAATTATCATTTCTATTCTTGTCGTGTGAGCACCTTGAGCAGCTGTAACGGACAAAATTCCCCCCGAACATCAATGAAGTCATTCTGATTCTGACTCTGAAAACGATTATTATAGTTTTTCGTCACACAAATGTCACACCTAACACCCCCATTAGCTCACATTATTTCTCATTCACCAGAAAAGTATATAAAAATAAAAAATAACCTGTATTAAAATGTCAACGCCTGTAACGGCATCTTGAATGTAACTGACTGCCGTTGCTAGGCAACGGGACTCAAACAGGCGCCCCGCTCCAACGGAAGAATTTGGCGCAGCCAACGTTAACCGTTAACTAACTAACTTAGAAAGTTGTTTTAAAACGTTTTCCAGGTAAAAGAAAGGACGAACGATAAAATATAAAATATATATATATAATAAAGGGATCTGGGTCGCCTCTGTTGCTGCTACATGTGGACTTAAGATGAATATAAATGAGGGAAATGCTTGTTACCAACTGAAATATAAGGTTAGAGATACATGTCCGAACATACCGAAGGTGAGTCAACTTTTATAACATCTATAACGTGCTGTTGGCTCCTTCCTACTATGTTAAAGCTGTTTTAGTTTTTTAATAATGTAGACTAGAAAGTGTGTTTATTTTCTTTCTTTTTACACCAGGCAGGGAAACTGATACCTGAGGGAGACAGGGCAAAGGCCTGCTTACAAGAAGAGCCAAGGGTAAGTCCAGTTTCTACGTGAGATGTGACCTTTTTCACAGCAGCCATAATAGGGTGAACACAGCAATTATACTGATTAAGGTTCAGTTTCATTCAGTGTATCAGAGCCTTTCCAATGAGCACAATAGCAGCAACCTGCACTCTGTTGGAGCTAATTAAATACAACCTTAATTAGTATAATTGGTGTAAACCTGTGTTTCCCCTATTTAACATCACAATAGCTGCTGTGAAAAGGCCCCATTAGATCTTTATCTATAGAGAGCATTCATATATATATATTTAAAATAACTATTTTATCTCTGGGTGGCACAAATTAAAGTATAATCTGACTGAATTTAACAATCGGGTGTTTTCATAAATGATTTATGTATTTGTTTATTTTAATCTATTTAATTTTCTTTTTTTTGTCCTTTTCGGACATGTGGGTTCACATTTTTTCCTTTTTTTTTGACTATTTTCATTGGA